TGCCATCTTAGCAGGGGGGGGACGGGACACGGCTCCCCAAGGGCACGGGCCGGTCTGGGGCATGGGAGCGGGGCAGAGAACTGGCCCAGTGCCAGCGGAGATGGCCGGACCTGCCCACCCTTGTTGGGCTGGGCTCTGCTCCGCGTCCTGCCGGCGCCTGCTCCGGCAGCCCTCTCCATCTCCGGCCACGTTACCTTGGGTGGCTTTCCAAGGTCTTGTCCAAGCCCACCTGCTCCATCCATCCAGAGAATAACCCCTTCTCTTGCTGTTTGCAGCAGCCGAGTTGGAGGAAAAACCCTCAAAAGTTCCCGACCCACCAGAAGAGAAGTGCAAGAGAACGCCCGAAAACCCGTAATGGGGCTGGGCACCCAGCGGAGCCGTCCCCACGCTCACCTGCTCCCCGGCCCTCAGCCGGGCAGGGCGGCTCCGTCCTTGCAGAGGGATTTGCCCAACGCCGCGGAAGGTATCGGGGTCAGTGCGGGGATTACGCCAAGTCCCACCGCTGCCCTCGGCTCTCCCTCCCGGCTGAGCTCCCCGGTGGCTGCACAGCAGAATCCGCCGGGAGCATCGCTGCAGCGTGGGAGCAGTCGAGGGGGCACCAAAGTCATCCTAGGTCTGAATTTCAGCGTTTGTGAATGCCGATTTCAGGAACAGATGATAACCACACTTATTTGCAACCAACTGCACCGTAAACCACTTTAGCAGAAATGAGGCAGAATATGGCCCATCCTGGAAGACAAAGGCAACTTCTCCAAAAACCCGTCACCGACCTTACAAACACCAAGGAAGGTTTCAAGAGTGATAAACACAATTTTTATTCAGGCAATGAAACATGGAAAAAATATATTAGTAATCATTATTATAATCTCATTTGTGTGAGTATAACTCTTACAAATATTTACCTGACATATAAAAGAGAAATTATTGTACATATAAAATTGATGGCGATGGCAGTTACATACATGGTACGACGCGATGGGGGTAGTAGTCAACGCAGAGAGAGTTCCTGCCTCGGGGGGGGCACGCGGGAGGGACGGGGGAGCGATTTGCAGTCAGGGCGGTGACTCGTTGGCACTTGACTGAGGACAGAGATCTGCTGGCAAATGCACACTCGCAAACAGCATCACTAGCGGCGTACAGGCAGGCACCCGCCACCCTCAGAAAGGGATATTTAAATTCTACTGCAAGAAAAACGACGACAAACACACCCAGGCGGTGATCCCCACGCGCAGGTCGCTGCCATTCCCCGGCGCTGGTTACGTAC